GATACGATACGCCCCCACGACTGAACTTGTGAACTATATAAATTATATTATAAAAAAATTTTACAAATAATAATCCTACTGGACTACTCGCCGATCTAATATTCATACACTAAGAGCGATTATGAGACGATTATTCAATTCGATCAAACGATCTTCCATATTCTCGTCTCACTGCTTTACGTTCCTTAACTGTCATGAAGTAATTTTTATGTGAATCTGAAAAATGTCATTGTAGCAAACTTCTTTGATTTCGAGTCAAATTTTATCACGTGTATTACATTTTATTATATTTATTACGTTAAATAAAAAAAATTCTTCTTACGCTTGTGTTACAAGTGGAATTAAAGAACAAAAAACAAAACCAAAAAAAAAAAAAATCAAACAAAAAAAAACAAAAAACAAAACAAAAAAAAATAAAAATATATTGCGGTTGCAGAGTTACTTGTAAGTTCCACGCCCATAATACAAATTCTATAAATATGTCGATGCTGGAAAATGTTGTAAGCTGCGGGACGTTTTTTCTTGAAATATAAAGCCAATTTCTTATTGGTCGCTACGCATCGAGTAAATAACACGCTTGTATTACAAATATCTGCCGAGGGAAATATTAAATGTGCCAAGTGTCACGATGCTCGAATAGTCGTCATTTGCTATTCTATCGTTAAAAGTAAAGCGATATAACGAAATATATTAAGTGACCTATCTACGAATTGGTTTAATTGAATAAAAAAATAAAAAATAAAAAAAAAAACAATAACAGCAACAACAACAACAATAATAATAATAATAATAATGACAATAATAATGATATGTAAACGATCAACATTCTCTTTTCTCCTTTTTTCATTTTCACATTACTTATCAATAACGTCACATCAAACAATGTTAATCAATGTTTAATCGAGAATAAGTAAAATTGTAATTAATATGGCGATGGGCGAAGAAACACTTATGGAGCAGCGTTTAACATCAAGGTAATAATTGAAAGTGATTTGCGAATTTGAGATGGTTGAAAATGGCGAATAGTAAATGCAAACTTCGCAATATCTATCTTTATTGATTAGAATATATGTTTTACATGCCAGAGAAACACGTCGATAAAAACTAATCCAACAGTTTAAGGCTTCATGTTCAATGTTTAATAATCGACATTACCAATTGTCCACATCGATGATTTTCAATACATTAGTACATTAGCGATGTAATTTCTGCTTAAAGTGCGTAAAAAAAAAAAAAAAAAAAAAAAAAAAAAAAAAAAAAAATTTCCTTAAAAGTCCGAGAAATATAAATCAGAAAATATCAATCGATAAATTGCCGGCGAATTTCTAACCAAAATTTTGTGCCAATATTAGCTATAAGATGTCCATATGCTATGTTGTTAATTTTTAATTTTTACATATAAGATCATTTACTTTACCACGATTGTCTTGATTACATTTAAGGAGGCATTAGTACCTTATGGTACTTCTATCGAGCCTCCTTAAGGGCAAACAATAATTTTACATATTTTAGAAATTAATAATGAATTGCCTGGATGTGAGAGTCGAAGGAGCACGAAAGCGTCAATTGCTTTACACTACAATAGATTGTTATTATTAATTGTCACATTTGCAAATTATTCATAAAACTATGATATATCGATGAAATGGGGGCAAAAAAAAAAAAAAAAAAAAAAAAAAAAAAAAAAAAAAACTCAACTTTATATATGGAAATTAATTGCTTATTTTCGTAAGTGAATATTATTCGCGCACACGAGCAGGTAATTCGCAATTGATCGACTCCTACGTTATTGAGTAAATATAATGTTGCACAATGCGATATGAAATTTAATAAGAAATATTGAAAATGGTACAATTATGAAAGTGGCTGCTGCATTTCCTCGATAATGTTTATGTAAAAGAGCGGCCGCCGAGGTTACAATAATCGCCTACTCTTGCTAAATTTACAATCATTAAGAAGTTTGGGCTGTATTAGCATTTATTCATTGGTATTATTATTTTGCGCACGGCATTCGTGTTATTAGAATGTGTCGAGGTAACGTATATTATTATCAGGAGTATGGCGCACTGAAGAATTCGCGCACACTAAAGTCGGTCGACGAATTCGTCGGATACACGAATCAGCCACGAACCATCTACGCAATTACAATAGAAAGTATTCTAGGGATTGTCCATAATTTTTCCACTTTACTCGTGCATTCGCTAGTGCAAAGTAAGTTGCGCAAATGACTGATGTGACGTGACATGGAGAATTTGCCATAATGCAATCGTGATTGAGAGATCGGATAATTGAGATTAAGGGACATTCAAATGGTCCAGAGATACATTACTCTCGGCCTCTCTCGGGTATTCTTATTGGCGAATTAACGGCTGCCGACCGATAAACTTACGAGAATCCGGACATTCCGAGCGTATGCCAAGGTCTCGCGATAAGGGCTGTCGACTTATCGCTTATCCCAACCAGAGACACCTGTCCCGTAATATTAAAAAAGAAAAATAATGGAAAACGAAAAAGTAAATAAATAAATGAATAAATAAATAAATAAATAAATAATAAAAAGAAAAGGTAAAAGGAAAACACAAAAATTCTGCACTCCTAAAGTGAAATACTTTCTTCTCTAGCTGCAGCTCGCAGCAGATGTCGACGGGTGCTATTGCCGTAATCAATCCTCGCATAAAAACTCAATTAAAATAGAAAGTTGATGCCTTAATTCGCGGGGCGCTGCAGAAGGTGCGCGCATGTTGTATATTTCTAGGCAATTAAGAACTTCCTAAGGCCGTAAAACGGCCGGCGCTCCTTTTATTATATTTTCTCTCTCCTGGGCAGCGCGAGCTCCACCGGCGGCCAATACATTCCACGATAAATGAGACTCCGAGGCTGCGGGCTGCGGCTAAATGGCGGCTAAAAGGCGGCCAAAAAGGCGGCTAAAAGGCGGCCAAAAAGGCGGCTTAAAGGCGGCTTAAAGGCGACTTAAAGGCGGCGAAATATAGGCGCGCAGGATAAAGCCGCGATCCACGAGGTTCTAACATGAATTCCCATGATCTCGTAGCAACCTGTCCAGGGACGGCGAGCCTGAGCCCCGATCCGCTCCACCGAAAAACTCCACCTCCATGAGATGGACAGTCGTACAATGGTGGAATTCCACCCTCGGTTCGGCGCTGGGGCTCGAGGCTTGGCTCGAGGCTGGGCTCGTCTCGAGTTGCCTAGTCTCGAGACTCCAAGGCCGAATTACATTGGGAGAACGGAACGATCAGCTAATCGCGCATCGGCCGATGTCGTTCAATCCCGGATTCCCGAGCCACCACCATCTTCAGCTACTTTCTTTAACTTTAAGGTATTATTAATGGCGCGTGATATTGGGCTGGTGGGGCGAGTCATTGAATGGCTAGGGGGCGCGCGCATAAGTAATGGCTCGGCATAGCGATTATAGTTATTTATCCGGTCCAACATTTTCCAATACTTTCACCCGAATCTTAAAAACAAATTTGAAATTACGGGGCCTCTCGGCTCGTTAAAGGAGAGCGGACCGACGAATATCGCGAATATACCTCGCTAAATAGAGCCGAGCTATATTGCCGCGGGTGCTGCTTGTCGGGGATCATTGCGCGGGATGAGAGACCAGGTTACCCGGGAGCCAGGCGCAAACAAAGGACGCGGCCGCCCTTTTAAAAGCCGTAGTCCGGAGGAGGCGAGCACGTGCGAACGGTGCTCAGTCTCCCGAGCGGAGATCGTTGAGTCGCGACCGGAGGCGCAGCTACACGTGTAGGCCGCGAGCTCCGGTAGCGCTGCACATCCTTTGCCGAGGCGCGTCTTTACCGTTACCCTCGTCAACGGCAGAGTGGCCAAGAATGAAAAAGAGAAAAAGCAAGCCGAAGGAGCGGGCGAGCGAGCCGTAGGGAAGGAGGAAGGGCGACTGGAAGGGAGAGACGGACGAACTCGCGCGGCTTTTATTAATAGGACGGTGGTGCAGCGAGGTGGGGAGTCGATAAGCCTAAGTGTGCTAGTACGTAGAGTTCGCTATTTTTTCCCGACTGTCTCGAGATAATGCGCTCACCGTGCATTAGCTCCATTAATAATGAATCTAGAGCTTCCTTATAACGTAAGTCTTGGTGAGATACGTAAAATTGCGTAGGTAGTCGTTTATCTCTGAATCCAGGGCTGTCGAAAACTTTCAAACGCGTAGTTTGTTTCTCAATAAAAACAAAAAGAACGAAATCGTCTTCTTAATCAGAAAGTTCTCGTCCTCGTCCTCGTCCTCGTCCTCGTCGTCGTCGTCGTCGTCGTCGTCGTCGTAATCGCCATCTCTATCGTTGATATGAGCAATGTCGTTATCAATGCCGTTGTCCCGATATCGAACCATACGAGAAAAGTGTACGCATCCGGAAGAAAAAAGTGCCGCTAATTGAGTCGAAGCGCAATTAGAAGAGAAAGAACAACTCTCTCTCTCTCTCTCTCTCTCTCTCTCTTTCTCTCTCTTCCTCTTGTTCTTTCTCGATCGTATGCGCACATTCTCTTTCTATCTTGCTTTTTCAGCGCACTCGGCGAACCAATGAACCGGCAGAAAAAGTGCGCGCGCGCGCGCCAGAGAAGATAGAAAGAGAATGTGCGCATACGATCGAGAGAGAGAGAGAGAGAGACAGAGAAAGAGAGAGAGAGAGAGAGAACGAGAGAATGAGTTAGTGAGGAACCAAGCAGGTGAGGGGCACGGGGGGACGGAGATACGGCCATGGTAAAGGGACCGCGGGGCCGTACTCGACGAGAGGGGAATCGTGTACGAGAGAGCGGATAACTAAGAGAGAGATAGATAGGTAGATAGATAGAGAGACTGAGAGACTGAGAGAGTCGGTGAGAGAGGGCGAGCGCGAGAGAGGGAGCGAGAGCGGCTCCGTCGGCCCCTTCTCCAGCTCGCGGCCCCGCGGACGGGTCCGAAGGAGCGTCGCGCGGCCTGGCAGGACGCGGCAGCGGCGGCGGCGGCGGTGGCAGCGGCGGCGAACCGCTCCTGCACTCCCCGGGCGCAGTCGCGCCTTCCCCGCGCGCCCGTCCGCACGCGGCTCCTGGTGATGCGCGTCCCGGTGCGCCGATCTCCACGCCGATTCGCGCAGTGCGAGCCAGCCGACCGATCGGTCCGAGTCGCCACCTCCCCGTCCATCTCGTTCACATGCAGCACCTAGGGGCCGTAGCAGCGATCATGGACCTGGACGGCAAGCTCCGCGAGACGAGTCGCTGAGTAGGAGCCCCGCTGGAGTCGCTGACGAGCAGCCTCGCATCCCAGCAGCGTCCGTCATTCTAAGCGCGAGCCGCGCGCTAATATGCGGCTTTGTCGTTATCCAGCGCGGACTTCTTATCACGCCGCTGGCCTCCTCCCGATAACAGTCGCAACGCCCTCTCGCACGCACTCGCCGGAGCCCTCACCTTGTGCAGCCTCGTGGCCCTCGCGCGGCCGTAGCCGAGCCGTTGCGCGCCCCGGAGGACGGAGGCCCCTCGTCGAGGCGCCCACTGGACCAAGCCGAGCAACCTCCTCCATTCCTGGCAAGTATCCTTGGTACGCGGGTGAGGGGCGGAGTGTCAGTAGGTGATCTGGGAGTCGTCTGGGAGGTGGCGGGGACGAGCGAGCGCGTCCGCGGAGCGTCCCCGAGACGAATAATTAATCGGCGCGCGGGCCACTTTATCGGCGCCGCTTTCAAGCCGCCGCGCGCTCCTCTCACCTTTTATTAATTTATTTGTCAGCGGCGGCGAAGGCGAAGGAGCGCAAAGCGAAGAGCACGAAAAGGACTCGACCCTTTCATCCGCGCCGCTCGCCTGCCCGCCTCCTCTCCACCCCTCATCCCTACCAACGTACTGGCCAGCTCGTGCAAGCCAAACCTCTCAACCTCTACTTAACCTCTTACCATCCCCCTCCCCCCACCCCTTCCCCCTCCCCCGCCCCACATATCACCCCGCC